TTGGCTTACTCATTTTTATCCTGCAAGGGCTAAATTCTTTAGTCTCTCTTTCCTCATTATGTGTCCCAAGAATTTCATCTGTCTCTATCTTATTGTAAGTATACGTTTCCTTGTTGTTCCTCTTTTCCTTAAGACTTCCTCAGTGCTCGCATGTTCTTTCCATGGTATTCTTAGCATTTGTCAGCTGAACCATATCTCTGTCGTTTCAAGTCACTTCTTCATCTTTGAATATATTGTCCAACATTTATTGTTCTATAGGAGATATTACATAGAAGTTCGGTACTGTTTTTTCGTTTCTAACGATATTTTTCTTGTCTTTATATTTTGCTTAGTTCTTAGACTTTTTTGCTATTTTTATACGCCTTTGGTTTTTTGTATCATATTTTCTTTCGCCTGTACACTAACCATATAGTTACATTTCTGTATTCGCTTGATTTTGACAACCCAACACATGGCTCACATGACGAGCCTGTATCTCTTGTTGACAACCATACATTCTCTTTTCTTACAATTAATAGTCCTTTCTACTTGCTTTCCTTTACTAACTTTACTACATTTCCTTTTAATCATGGGCGCAGATTAATGCAAATATATAAATATTTAAATCATAAAATTTATGGTTTAAAATCCGATATATCTGCATAAGGTTTTGACTTGTGTTATAATTGCGAGGTAATCACACGTACCTACGAATGTAAGTAATTAGTAAACTTTGTAACTCCAGAAAAATACAAAATACTCATCTATAAGATATATAGACAATTTATGATACTTATTCATGTCAAAGGACTATTGATAATTTCACATATACTAAACTAGATTAACACGTAACCAACAAAGAATGTAAACGATTTTAACTTTAAACCTCCAGAGAACAACATCGACGAAACGGCCTGGTACGCAACTACTTTGTTTATTTGGTGCAAATGCAGTTTAGGAAGAATCAGAGACTTAAAACTCCCCATTCCCAACAAATAGTGAGGAAATAAGTTAGACAAAAGGTCGTGGCATACAATAATGAGATATTAAGGAAATTATAATATTGCACATCGGAAAGCTTTTTATAATACAATCCTTCAATGAGATATCTCTTGTACCACCTCAGTTTTCAGTCTGTTGCTCTACAAGTGAGCAATTTTAATTAATTATTTTCATTATTTTCAACCTGTTAAAGTAACACGACAAAATTTGGTTGAAGAAGTTCAATCGTTATCTTGTGTCTTCTGATTTCCTGTTCTTTTACTGTTTCGCTTCTTAATACTGTTTTTCTTATATTCTTTTACACTCAGTAATCCACTGCGTGTTAGTGGTTTTGTTCCCTTGCTCGAGGTGAAATGATTAAAAAGAAAGTAAAAATGAAGAACGTATTTATTAAAGTCATAATTACATTGATAGAGGAGAAAGAAAAGTGTATGAAAGCAATGCAAAACTATTCCACAAGCAGCATAATACTTGTAAAACCGTGACTGGCCTTTACACTGTATGCAGACAACTAATACCCTACTGAACTGAGCGGTTTAATCTGTGGCATCTGCAGCCGTTCGGATTTCCTTTGTTAATAAAGATTTTGTTATGAAAGAGAAGTAGAATTAGTAATTAAAAGCCAGAACATGTTCCTCTCGTTATAAACATGGTCTATGAATACTTTTTATAATGTCGCTTTTTAAGTTACGTTTACCGATTGTTTATATTCAACGCTACTCAATTTGTAAGTTGTCTGATAACAGTACACAGCAAGTGCCGACCATTACAGCGTCTCCTTAGCATCGCTTTTCATAAACAAGCACACTACATTCTTACATTTTTCTTAATTGGCTCAAATGGGAATATCATTGAAATGTTATACTTGCTTTAATTTTCACCTATTTATTCATTTTTTAAAAGAATAACCAAGAAAAATAATGTATACACACAGTATAAGGCTTAACTTAATGAGAAATAAATGTGAATTTTCATTAGAATTGAGAAAACGTTCTGTAGTTTTTCTGACTAATAAAAAAATATTATGTAATAAGACTAAGAGTCAATAAAAGAGGAAATAAACCTGAAGACTACCAATTCTTTCAATTGAAATGTTTTTCTAACACAATAATTAAAAATCTTAATGGATTTGATTGGCAAAGTCGTTAATTGTTGCAATAATTGTGCTAAAAAGAAAATAATGAAAATAATAAAATTTTTATAAACCGATTCTCTATAAAAGAATAATGCGAAGTGCAATTTTCCTATCAAAGGAGCTGTTTAGACATTTTTAGGGAATTAAACAAATCCTGTCGGTGAACGTAATCTTAACAATATAAGATACAGTGGGTTGATGACCGACCCAGAAAGAAAATGGCATGATTTCCAAGACAGAGTGGTAGAAGAAAGTGTTGACTAACCATCAACTGCAAGGGGACAGAAAGTATGATCATCATCAAGAGAAAAAACCCAAAATGCGATTTACAAAATGGAGACATGAACATCCAAGCAGGTGTGGAAATTCAAATATCTGGGAAGCGTTTTAACGGGGCGTGGGTGGAAGAGGTAACACCAAGATCCGAAACATGCATTGGACTAACGAAAGAAGCATTCCAAAAGCTAAGTAAGGTGCTGAGAAACGGGAAAAATTGATAGAAACAAGAAAAGAGTGCTGGATTGCGATGTGTTATCCATCTTCTTACATGGCAGCGAAAACTAAACAAACTCCCCACGGATGAGGAGAAAACCAGAGGAAGCAGAAATGTGGTTCTACAGAAGGATCCTGAAAATTCCATGGACGGAAAGATTAAGCAAAAAGGTAGTCTTAAAGAAAAAGGTAACTGAAAGAATAAGAATCAGGAAAAGACAGCTGAAATCTCTTGGAAACATAATGAGGAAGGAGGGATTGGAAAACTTAATCCTCATAGGGCATACTGAAGGCAAGAGAGATAGGAGCAGGAAGCGAGCCACTTACCTGACGAGCTTACGTGAATGGATGGCGGAATGGGGGGCGGGATCCTTAGCGAAGAAAGAAAAACTGTTTGTGATAGGAAATCATGGAGGGCCGTGATTCCCTGTCTTGAAGACGAAGTGAATGGAACAAAATCTAAACAAAGAAAATATATATTCTTCATTTAAATTACAAGATAAAAGTCGGCGAAAAATTATTCTCAGAATTCAGAAAAATGTTTGGAAGAAAATGTTCTAAAAACAAACGCACAAGGGAGGAACAATTCCGTAATTATTCTTTAAAAATTCTTTAAAAATTCTTTAAAAATGCGAAACAATCGGTTTAATAAGTTCGGTTGGACGCAAAATAATGACCCAGCTTAAACTTTGAGGTGAACAACAGTTAGGGAATAAATTATTTAGTTAAAACTCAATTTTTGAATGGTGTTTAGTTTACGACTATGAATGCTGTATAACCTGAATTAAATGTGTCAGTAATTCTTCATTAGCTGCCATCGTCACAGTTTTCCTGTCTACGTCCCACCGAATATGATACAAGGTTGAGTTTAATATAAGTTTACCGGCAATACCGTAGAAAAATGACTCAAACCCCCTTTGGGACTTCTCCTTTTTGGAGATGCCTCAGGCGCTGGATAAAGACCCCAACCGGCTCCCGAAGCAGAGGTACTGCTGGGAATGAGAGTTCCAGAGTCTTTACCTCAAACTTCCATTTATTTACTAACAGTTAGTAAAAAAATATATCAGATTTACAAAACAGTTTTATGTTGACAACGAATAGTGATTTATTTCTATATTGTGTATAAGGAAGTTTATTTATTCATCTGGAGAAATAGGAATTAAATGTCATGATGACATTCAAAGCCCTTCAGCGAAACTGTATTCAATTTTAACTGAAAGTGCTACGGGCATAAATGAATAAAATAAACAAAACCTAGTAGTCTTGCGTTTCGAATAAAACCTTTGTAAGTTGGTATTAGAAATTACATCCTTTTAAACAAAAAATATTGCAGTATTATTCAAATTATAGCAATAGACAAAAGTTATATATTTTGTTGTTGTTAAGAAGGAATCTTGAAAGGTTTCTTTCTTGATTTCGAAATAGCATTGCTATCAGCAATTTCACTTTCATATTTATCAATTCATCATATGGTTTATTATGGTTGTAATTTTTTAAGTTGAAAGCTAGAAATTTAAAACAGACAAGAAGACTTTTCCTATATTCGCATAATAATTCTTTGGAAATTTCTTTTAAAAAGTGTATGTACATGAATATTGATATTTTTATAAGTCTAAAAATTAAAGAACAAGCCACAAAAGAGTACTGTAATACTATATTTTATCTATTTTTTAAACTCTGAAATGTGAATTTAAGATTATTACATTATTTACCTTACTATTATGGCTGAGAGTTTTTATAAAAACGTTTCCAAAAATAATTTCTGAAAAATATTGCAAAATTAACTTAGAATATTTTAATTTTGCATTACACATTAGCTACACTTGGAGAAAAAACGTATTTATATTAAGTCAATTTAATGTTCAAAACCTTTGCGCTATTAATAATAAAAAAAATTAATAAAAAGTCAATTTTTATTTAAAATTATTTTTGGAAAATGATCGTGTGAAAAGTTGCTTATAAATAAGAAAATCGTACTAATTCGCATCAAACAACTTTTAGGCGATTTTAAACTTAGCAAGAATGAATTTAATCACTACAATTTAATAAAATTGTCTGTACTTTTTTGAATAAAGGAAGAAGAAATTTAAAGGCGTTTTCATTCCAAATTTTGGTGAGTGTGTACAACATGAATAACGAACGAATGAGAAGATAAACAATGCTCAACCAATGAGTGCTGTAAAGTGTAATTCATTCATATGGACCTTGTTTAGTTTTTAGCGTGTGACAAATTCCAATTTTGCGTTAGGAACTTTTCTGGAATATTTTTCGAAAATTTGAATCACGATTGTTTGAATCTGCACGTGCGAAGCCCTCAGATTCGAAGGGGCTGATCCCTTTTATATTCAGTATTTGATTCGAATCAATTTTGCGGGGTGGGGAGGGGTTAGTTATGCTGCTCTTAACAAATAAGATTCGGATTTCTCACTTCCTATATCTCCTCTCTCTCTCTCTCTCTCTCTCTCTCTATCTATCTCACCCTCTCTCGCATGCGTGTACACATAATTATTCGATGCCTGGTTAGCAATGGTCAGCCATCTACTCTCAGAGATTAATTTATTAATGTATAGAATTTGAACCACACCAAGTGCTTTGCTATTAAATTCTTATATACGACTAAGCTATGGTTAACCAAACACGTATATGAAAGTTACGTAACAATAAAAATAATAATTCGCAACTAAACATACTGTGAAAATGGACTCAAGATAAATTAACGGGACCATTGTAAATTATGTTCACTAATTATTTATTTAGCACTGTGATTAATTGAATTAACTGATTTATCTATGATGTGCGCCATTTGCTGCCAAATGACGGAAAATTACTTGATGGATGTATTTATCCGCACGCCCACTCGAAGAGAATGTGGCACAAGGCTGAATTTAAACTAGTTCAATCCATTCAGCAATTCCTCTTTAGGGACGGCTCAGGCGCCAGTTAATGACTGTAGTCTCTTTTCGGGAGAGAAGTATTACGTGGGAGAGACACTCCATCTACCGGGACTGAAATTGGCGCCTCTGAAGTTAAAAGGTCCTGTATATAGCTTTCGTCTTTGATTCCATGATTTCCATAATTTAAGCGCAATACGAGATTGACAAGTAAGTCTCATAATTTCACTGTTAAAATTTCTAGATGTAACCGTAAGTTCTATGCTTATAGTTTCTTCCATCACACTCTCTTCAGGATTCTTATTTTCTTGCAAACTACGATCTTCAAAAATTTTAAATTCAACGTCAATCCATTCTATGAATTCTGCTCTTTTATTGTCTTTTTTTCTTCCATAACGTTTTCTCAGTTTCTTTCACACTCCTTGCGTCTGAATGGTTCTTATCGCCTTGCTTGAGGTGAAGTTATATATATATATATATATATATATATATGTGTGTGTGTGTGTGTGTGTGTGTGTGTGTGTGTGTGTGTGTGTGTGTGTGTGTGTGGTATGTAGAAAAATAGGAAAGAACACGTTAGGTAAATAATCTGGAGTTCTTTAGTATTTTTGTTTTTAATTTTTAAAAAAAGACAGTGCTCCATACAGAAGTAGAGCTTAAATTATAATTATTTTTAAAAAAAATATATGATTCCTTCGCTACATAAGAGTTCTCATGTTTCAAAAACGAGAGCCGAACCCCTCAATATAATTATTAAAATTAAATTGAATAAAGGTATCAAGCCCTGTTTCATCCATATGCTCATTCTTCTCTTTCCAGTCTTGATAGAGTACAAAATCGTCTCCGTGTCCTTGTGGGTGACAAATTATTTTTCACCCTGCACCCCCTTTCTCACAGACGAGATATCGCTAGCCTCTCACTCCTCTCTCGCTACTTCCATGGAAAGTGCTCAGACTAACTACATTCCTTAGTTCCACCAATTCTAAGCTTCACGACTAGGACCCGCCATGCTACTCACATTGTAACGAACTACACTCACTCCCTCCATATTTTATCGTTGAGGAGTAAGTTCTACTCGAGCAGCTTCTTCCCGAGAAACCACTGCTTTGTGGAACCGACTCCCAAAAATATGTTTTCCCAATCACTCCTATCTTAACCTGTCTAGAATTAATCTTCCCCACATATCCACATAAACTGTGTCTCATGCTCTGTAACACTCTACCTTTCGGGCATTATACAGGGTGAACCTCGCTGTATATCTATATATACTATTTTTTATATAATCTTTATAAATGTTACTTATTCTTACTCCGAACTATTTTCACAGTACAACAGAGATTATTTCAGCACTTGCAAAGTATGGCTAAATTTATATCGAAAAAATGAAAGGATTTGATTTCTGCAATTTGCATATTTAGATTTACATTAAAGAAAGCAATCCCTGATTTCAAAACAGTACTTTAGTTCTGACTGATTTGAAAATTTTGATTTCCCTCTGACCAAAACATTAATCTATCACATGACAGTGATTGTGCAATTAATTTAAATAACGGCTTGGTAGAGCAAAATTCCTTTTCAAAAGAAAATCTTTTGCTTCTGATAAGAAAATAGAGTTTAATTCTCAGTTAAACTCTATTTTCCTATCAGTCCTCTGTAAAATAAAGATAACAAAACGAATAGATATTTGAAAGTTTCTCATTTCCACACCAGTTGTGTTTATAGTCTTGTAGCTCTAGAACTCTTAAAAATGAAAGAAAGAAAGAAAGGAAGAAAGACAGACAGACAGAAAGAAAGAAGGACACAATTGAATCAAAAATGAATAAGACTGATTTTTAGAACCAGAATATATATCTGAGAAGTATGAGAGGTGACTGATGGGAAATTTATTTAGTTCCTTGTTTCATTTATTATTATTATTTTCTTTTTAACTTGAGGTCTTTCATCGTAATGATTTATGGTGCCCTTAACTGTGATGATAAAAATTCACGCTATTTTCACATTAATTTTTTAATTTTCTTTCTGATTGATATATTTTCAGTGTACATGTTAAATATATACAGTCATTTTTTGTGATCAAGGTTTTTAACAATGATAAAATCAAAGCTTTAACGTTGCTTTTTTGTTGCAAATTTAAAATTTATTCCGAAAAGTATTTATATTCCTCAAAGTTTTACGCTTTGAAATTCAGTCACATCCGTCAAACAGGCAACGTTCGTTTTGACATGCGCATGCGTACCCGCATTTCAAAATAAAATTGATGATCATCAGTTTTACTAACTCATGAAATCCTACTCAAATAGAGTCAGGATATTTCTTTCCTTTCGTTGTTTTGAGAAAATAGCAAATTGAAATTGTTATACATTAATATACTTTATGTCATGTGTTAATACAGAGTACATAATATCGTAATTACATTACGTCATCATAGCGCACAAAATAAAAATTCGCTTGTAAAAACCATAGTAAAATAAGTAGAAAATAGGTAAATTCACAAAATATATGATTCCGGTATTGGTATTGGAAAAAAAAAACTTAGTTCACACGGCTTTAAACGTAGGCACTGTGTAATTATAATACGAGGAATATTCAAAAGTGGGCGTACATTCAGTGAATGGCCGAACAGGTTTCTCTTTCTACTCAACATTAGCAGCCGCCTTTCGTTAAAGTTTCTATTTCCGCATTCAGTTTGTGTTATTAGAGGTGCACGATCTGCAGATGTATAAAATAATAAGGTTTATCTGAATAAAGCCATGAAGTTTCTTTCTATCAATAATTTTTAAGTATGAATTAAAATAAATGAATAGTTAATTTTCACGTATTTTCTTTGGTTATTCTTCTATGTTTTTTTAAACTGAAAAAGTTTTATACATCTTCAATGAGTAGATCGACAAGAGATCATTTTAAATCGAAAACAAAAGGAAGAGTATTTTTTATTTCAAGCTTCAGTAAATAATGATCATAAAATGATGAAATACTTATATATTCACAAGTATATATTGTTTTTTCGACTATGTAGTTGTCTTGAAAATATTGCTTGAAACAGTTCGTAACAAAGACTACTTATCTGCAGGCCTGTACGAGTGGAATGTGACACAAGGTCAAGTTTAAAGTGGGTTGGTAACTCATGTGGAATAGGAATAATAATTGTTCAAGCACCTTTGGCACTTCCCTTTTGGGGGACGCCTCAAGCGTTAGGTAATAACGCCTTGGAGAACGACACCCCTGAGGCTTGAGCGTATATTAATTTTCACCCCACGGCCTGGCTAGGATGCTAGATATGAGATTTTTGATTATTTATTGTTTTTCACGCGTTAACAAAAGCTATCACATGAGAATTTTTAATTCTATAAGTAAGTTGTTCCTTGAAAACCAAGAAGAGGCAGCTGATCACAGATAGTTTTCCAAGGAATAAAGCAACATAACAGGTAACACCAATTGCTTTGAAAATATTTATACAAGTCACAACTAAATAGATTTTCTATTAAAGTAGAAAAAATTTTCCAATGAGACTGTTTCAAGCGACGTAATTAAATCATGAAGTAGTAAGCAGGTGTAACAGCGCGTGTTTTCGATGTGAATGTCTCTGTCAACCAGGACTAAGTCCTGACTCGAAATGTCAGTGGCGTTGAATCTATGGCCCCGGCTGTTCGTGGCTGACAGCTAATATTGTCTCTCCCGTGAGAAGAAGAAAAAAAAGTGCTCTTTTTATCAAGAAAAAGAGTTGGTGTCTCCTACCACCCACTGCTCGGATATGACTGGTGGGGTAGATGTTATGTATGATAACATACGTCGCTTAAAACTTTAAATTTGACTACACTACAAATTTATGAGACCCATTATATTACATGTGCTTGTAATAGCAGAGTGTGGAAAAACATTCGATTAAAAAATTAAAATGTGAAAAAATAAAAAAATAAAAACTAAAGCATTATACAGAGAAACAGAGTGGACACCAAAAGAGAAAGAAAAAGTAAAACCCAAAAAAGATCAATGAATATTTTGTCGATTAAAAAGATAAAAATACAATAAAAAATTTTGGTTTTGAATACTAAACGACAAAATCCTTCGTGTGCACTAATAAAATGTTTTAAAAGTTTTAATAATTGTACAAAACACATAAACACAATAGGAGCCCAGAAGCCCAGGCGTTTTCTCACCCTTGCTAGTGTTTTAATGAAGTGGAGTAATATCAGAAATACAAAAGAAATTCAAATCGTAATTTAATCAACAATTTCACTGTAATTCTAGAAGGAGAGAAAATCAATGAAAAATGTATATATTTATTGGAGGAAGAACTGGTTGGCCTTACATAATTCTATTTCATTATTTTAATGTTTTGCACTTGTCTTGTCACTTGGTCGTTACTTATCCTCTTCCTCTTCCTCCTCCTCCTCCTCTTCTTCTTCTTCTTCTTCTTTCTGTCGTGCCCCTTTTCTGATGTGGCCGATCATGGTTCTCCACAAGCTCCTATCCCTTGTAGTTCTTAGCAATGTTTGTTTCTTTGCTAAGCTTTCCACTTCCGTTTCGTCATCCATTGACAAAAAACTGTTTCCCCCTGTCCATTTTGCTTTTGATATGTCCTATAAGTGGAATATTCTCCAAGCTTCCCTTCGTCATAATGTGTCCATGAAATTTTAGTTGTACTTTCTGATCCTATAAGTTACTTCTATTTTCCTTAAGACGACTTCGTTGATTGCGTTTTATTTGCTTTAATTCAGAGTCGTAATGCAATAATTCCTCCACCCAAACAATTATACGGAAATTCTCATTTTTTTTTTTAAATATAATAATGGGAAAGTGAATCTCTGTTGCAAGAATATATATTTTTTTAATAAAATGCATAAGACTCTTTTTAGTGTTTAGTATCTCCTGTGATAGTTGTTCTGGATCATTATAAAATATATAAAGAGAAATACCGCTTTGTTTATATTCTATTCCCACGAAATAATTAATATTGTGAAATTGTAATAGATAGTTCATTTATATTTTCTTTGTTTCAACTATAAAGTGTTTGCCTTTCTAACGTAATCCATAGATTTTAAAACAAGTTTAAAGTTGAACGGAATCATTCTCGAGGGCAATTTAGTTATTTCACAAGCAAGAGAATAAGAAAACTAATTTCATAAAACGTTATTGTTCACAGAGTGACTATTTGTATTTTATGAGTCACAAAAATAGATTACTTTTTAAAAAAAAGAAGATTACTTTCAAACTCGGAACGACGTTGTTGGAATAACCACGCAGAGAAATTCAGTATTTAGCCGAATTAAGATAAATAAAAATTATAAGCTAAAAAAGCGTCTAATAATAGCAAAAACTGACGGATATGATTATATGATATGATTATATGGCTGGCACATCGACTGCTTGGTCAATTTGATAACTGCATATTTCACACTAACGCCAGTGAATAATAATCGAGTTCAGATAAAAGCCAGAATTTCGAATACTGGTTTTCCAAGCAGACAGACAAGCTCTCTCTTTTGGGATATTAGGGCAACAGAATATTTCTAACAATTATTGTCCTTTCTTCTCACTAAAGTCTTCTCATTCTCTTTCACTCACAGTAACCCCTTGCGGCTTAGTGGCATTATCGCCTTCCTTCAGGTGGAATGATTTAAAAAATAAGAAACGAATTTTCCATTCCATTCCATTTGACCTTTAAGATATGCATACTAAATATTCTATAATAAAATGATACAACGTCGGCAGAGGTAAAAAGAAAAAGTACCTTTATCGAAAAAGTACCTTTATTGAAAAAGTACCTTTATCGAAAAAGTACCTTTATTGAAAAAGTACCTTTATCGAAAAAGTACCTTTATTGAAAAAGTACCTTTATTGAAAAGACCGAAAGATTATACAGAATATGAGTATGAAAAATATTTGAAGAGAAATGCATTTCGAATTTTAGATGAAAGCATTGAGCAAGAAGAAAATAAATAATCAGTCGCAAAAGTCGTAATCAAGAATATATGGTAAATTAATAAATTTTAACAGAAAAGCAAAATTCTAACTTCTTCAAATATTAATTCAAATTTTATCTTATAAAATATTTTGATTTAAGTTACTAAAAAACTAAAAAAACGTATCGTCTTCTTCCTGCAATATATTTTTAAACATGTCTAGTATTGGAAGAGAAATAGAAATTGAAAAAGGAAGAACAAAAAGTAAAGCTGAAATGAATTTTATCGAGAAACAGAAAAAAAGCAATGGAATTTCTGTCATTAAATTAAAAAAAATATATTATTAATATTTTTTTATATGTATCTGGGGACGGTGAAGGAATCTGTAAAGAAGTCGATGGTCTAAACAGTTTGGAGACCTTACCACTTAAACGACATATTATTCAGCTATATTTCTTTAATCAACTTTTTGGCGTTTAAAAACAATAACAACCATATTGCCTCGTAGCATTCAAATAAACCGAGAAAATCTAGTGTAAATGAAAATTTCTGTTACTTATCCTGCTTATCGGAGTAAAATTATCAGACGAAAAAATAATCTTCTCTGTGCTTGTTTCAATGAATTTTCTGAGCCTGTTATAATAAGAATAATAATGGTCTGATAGTGATAAAATTGTTTAATTACTCTTATAATTAATATTCGTATTTTATAAGTATTTTCTAATAGGTATAAAAATTACAGATTAAAATTTATTAGAATGTATTTAAAGTAAACGTTTGTTTGAAAAATTGATATTTATGAATTAATTTTATCTTATTTTTAAATGTAAGAGCAATTTTACTGGTAAAAAACTTGTTTGCTTTATAATACAAATAATTATTCTAAAAGTGCTACATATTAACATTTAAATTAATTTGTTTCTTATATATCATATTATGTTATTAGTTTCATTCTATTTTCGTAGCTGGAGATCCTGGTGATTGGAGCAATCCGGAATATAAAAAAGATTCCAAAGATTTTCGACTGAAAAACCAAGAATTCTCGTCATATGAACTGAACTACAAATCAAAATTTTCCGAAAATCGAAGACATAGTCGCAGAGACAAGATGGAAACAACTCAAAGATCCCTCTATAATAAACGACACATTTCCTCAGCAACAGATAAAAACGAAAATAGTTCACAGGAATCGGACAGAAAAAAATTAATATCGAATAAAATATCTCACGATGCAGGATTACAAAACGCTTGGAAGAGAAATATTCCAATCAGAAGACCTGCTAGAGACCCCGTCAAAGTTAGCAAAAGAATGCTTGCAGAAATAAAAAAGAAGACAAATAGGAACATTCCTTTAAGGATTTTCAGAATTCGACAAAATAAGAGTTTAATGTCTCGAAAAGCAGACGCGATAGAAATGTACCGACAACTCTTGATAAAAAGTGGGCAGCTGCAAAAGTTCCGAACATTGGGTAAAGCTCAACAAATTGAATTACTTCGGAGTCTTATAACAACGAAACGTAACACAAATCGAGATAAACAATCAGAAAATAGTTTGCAACCTTGGAAGACAACAACTCAGTCAACGATGAAAAACTCGTATAGCATTGAACCTAGCAAGACTCCATTGGATATAAGAAGAGAAATGGTTCCTAGTAAATACAATAATGCAAAGCCTTATCGTTTTATCGGAAATCATGGCCGACACATTCCAAAACCACCTGTAATATTTACAAATGGAGTTTCGCATAAACAACTTTCGAGTAAGGAAACACATGCAGATTCTGTGAGCAGACAAGAATCCAATTTGGAGAATATGCAAAACAGGTATCAAAAATCAGTCTCTACAGCAAATTTATCTTCTCGCACGAATATAAATGGTAATGCTTTTATGCTTACTAAAAATAGCGACAGTATTCATTATAGAAACCCAATACGAAAAAATGCCTTTCCGGCAATCAAATACAAAAATAGACTCTCTTATAAACATAAAAAAGGGAATTCAAGGTTGATGAAATCAAACGAATCAGAAACAAAGAAAGATGGCGATGAGGATGAATCAAGAGAAGAAAAAAACAAAGAAGAGACAGGAAACAATGAAGCGGGAAACGATTATGCCGAGCAAAAGGAGCAAGTAAACAATGATAGGGACAATAAAGAAACTCCAGAAAACACTTTTAGGAATGCAAATCGTAGGGGGAAATTGAAGTTTCGCTTCCCAGTCAATATGAAGATGGAAGCGAGACTCGAAAATCGAAGGCCTGTTTTGAGAAATCGCAAATATGGATTTACACGACCTGCTATCCGTCACAACGAAGCGAGATATTTGGAACGGAGGCGCAAAACACACGTACCGTCAACTGTTTTACCTCTTCGCGTTTATCGAAAAGAAGATAAAGGCAGGATATTTGAGGCTGGCAGAAATATTCCGAAGAGATCTGATCTACGCGAAAACATTGCTCAGCCACCTGAATTCGTTATGATCAAGCATGATAATGCAAAAGGATCTCGATCTGTTCAAAAAGATGATCGCCATTCCTCAGAAGATGCGTCTGGTTCGAAGAAAAACGAGAGAATACATAAATACCAGTCGCTTTCTTCTCCCTCTGGCATAGATTCGTTGAATATGGCAGGTGATTTTCAATATGGTTACAGACCTGCAACTTATAGCATGCCTCGATCTTTATACGGTAGACCAGATTATTATGATCAAATGCCTTTTATCGACATTGCCGAAACAAACACTAGAGGTCAAACATCCGAAGAGAATGCGTCATCAGAAAATGACCAGCACGATGGGGAACAAGATTATATTGATGACAACGAGATACCGTCTTATGCGGACATGCATGGGAGTGACATGACTGTAGGCGGGGATCGAACCATCGATGTGAATACATTTTACGATAATAACCCAATGTACATGATACCTGATGCCAAATCAGAAGATGATGATGACACCTCCGTGGAAAATAGACATGATGATGGTCGACAGGATAGTGGGTCTGAGGAACAAGATAGCCCCAAACATTTCCAGCAGACAATTCACAAGAACCATGACTCTCCAGATACGTTACTCATAGTCATCGACAATAAGGCCAAGTCTAAGAAAAAGTTAAGTGATCGTAACGAGAATTTGAGTATTAAACGAGTGACACCTGAAAATAAAAAAGTCAGTCCAGTGATTAAGGCTGATCATTCCTATTCAAGTGGGATTCTAGTTCTTCTAGATAATCAAAAGAAATTGAAACGAAATAATGCAAACATCCATCCAGCCTTGGAATTGGCCTCTAATGGAAAACAAAAAACGGCTTTGAACCAAAAGGAATTTTACAACTTCACATCCCGAGAAAAGCTCGCAGAAAAACCGACAATTAGCACCCAAAGTGGTTCTCATGAATTTGGACGTAGCAGAATTGACGTTCCGCCCAAGACAAAATCAGATGTTTTCCATAAATCTTATAACGGTCTTCAGCATCAAGGAAGAAAATCAGCATTAGACGATCTTCTGATTGAACTTGGGACAAAAGAAAATATTTTTAACATTCGTACTGCAAACAATGGAATAAAGCCAAGTTATCATGCACGAATATCAGCGAGTAAATCACTTCTAGAAGACCGCCGCCATGATGTTCAGACAAATAACTCCTCCAACAGTACTGATATGGAAAGAGTAAAAAAAACCGTAGCCAATGAACATATGAATATTAATAGTAAAATAGTTTATAGAAAAATACACACTTCATCTCCTATTGAAACCTCGGTTAAGAATACAGCCGTAATTCCTGAGCCAGGTTTAAATCTAAAAGCAAACAGTGAATATTTTGGCAATCACGTGAAAGGAGACCTTAGATATCCTCACAGTAATGGGAATGAAGTTAATAGTAACAGCAATAATACTGTAAATATAGATGAACTATTCGGGAATCGTCACAATAAAAGAAATTCAACTCTGCAAAAATCTAGTAGAAACAAAATAATGAAGGGTATCTCAACGAAGATTCACCAAAAGCACGGTTTCCATCCAAGTATTCGCATTCTCTCAGACAAAACTGCAAAAGACAGGAAGAATAAATATGATCGCAAGTTTTCTGTCCGAAAGCACAATAAGATTTCACCTACCTACCAGCGTGGTGGCGTGGATTATGTCTACGGGCCATTAAATGGGATTTCTGAACACATTTCATCACATAGTGACCACAGCGAAGACGACGACGACGACAACAACGACGACGAAGAAAAGGACCATGAATCAACTGAAGAAATATCAACAAGTGAAGCATCTTTCTACTCCGATATAGAAAACCCACCCACAGGCAAGTTAACTCCAATTTACCCAAGTCAATTGCATGAAATTTACGACTATGGAAATGTGGCTATGCAGGATGTTAATGATGACGACGAAGGAGATGAGGATGATGATGATAGGAATGAAACTCAAGTTGTCGATGTTGAACCTCTGGCCATTCCAGATCATTCGAACAAATTTGAATATGTCGATGGGACACTGGACTATCACCCACATTTGACTAGAGAGCGGGGCGGCAAGCATAAGTCTGTTATTAAAGGTCTGCATCCAACTCACATGTCAGAGAATCTTGTCCATGTCCCTGTCAGTGGAACTGAAGAAACATCACGTGCGAAAGTGAAACCCATAGAAAATTTGCATCCATATTATTCAAATTTTAATCATTTCAAAAGCATCATTGACCTACCTCCAGATAACACAGAAGATTACCATGCAAAGATTAATGATGATGATGATGAAGATGAGTATGATGATGATGATGATGATGATGACGATGGCGATGATATAGCAGAATATGATAAAACTGAAAACGTTATAGAAAATGTATACCCTACTGACGTAATAGATCATCAGCATGCTATGGTAAACTTTCAAGGTGATTATCAAGCTCCTTTCTATGAAATCTCACACGACCATGAAGATGGACATTTATCTCAAGAAGCTGTAGATACTGATACAGGAGATGAAGAAGCAAGCAATTTCCATGATCTGACCAGAATTCAAAGCCGACAGAACGATATTGCTAGAAATTTATATGAAACAGTTGTAGGTATAAATGGAAAAGCAACTACACATTCCCGCAGTCTAGAAGGACATCGCAATTCAGGACACGTTTCTATACGTAATTTGTATGATGAATTTTCAAACAACAGAGAAGATATGGTGGAGTCCGTAGAAGACAGTCCTGCTGATTCTAATAGTATGGGTGAGGAGGTCACATACATTGACGAAAAGTATAGGTTCCCTAATTTAAATGTACATAAAGCAGTATTGTCGGATCACGGAGAACATTTTAAGTCGATGGAACATCAACACTCTCTCGGTGCATCCAAGAAAATATCGATTCCGTCTGGATTGTATAGAATTAATCTCAAGAAATCTTTGAAACAAGGTCCAGAAGAAAAAATATCGGATGAGGAAATTACAAGATCTTTAGAAGATGCGCCTTCGGATCAAGAATTTTATGCTATTTCATTTGGAAAAAAGAAACCTATTAGAAGTTTTCAATTCAGAAACAAAGACAGATCTCTAAAGAGTTTTCGTGGTCGCCACAGGAAATTTCCAGTTCATTTTAGTAGAATTTATCGAATTATAAACAAAGGGAAAAAGTTACTACGCCACAGTAAATTATACAAACGTATTAAAGAGATATACCTAAGAAAGTCACGTCCACGAATTTCGAATTTTGGCCGTTTCCAGAATGGATCCAAATCAAATAATCCTTTAAAGGACCGTCAACAAAAGATAAACAATGATTCGAGCAATGTCCCTTTCTTTTATCATGAAGATTATCTTCCTAAAAGTAGCAATAGTTATGCTCTTTTGCCAAATACCAAGCCGATGGATTCAGAAGAATCACGTGCTGATCGAAGTTCGCATGAACATGGTCCGGGTTTAGAAGATGGCGCAGATGATTTCCGCGATGACAAGGTGGTGACTTCTGAAAGAGTCTACTATAAGGACAGGCAAAGTGGAGGTAAAAGCGGCACATTTGAATCACTACATTATCCAGTTAAACGTATAAATCAAACCAGTGAAACACAGAATAAAACGTCTGAATTGAGCAAAGAGGATCGGCAAAAACAAGAATTCAAAGTGAATGTTGGAACTGCCGAATCTTGGAATGAAACTGTGGAACATGAAAACTTAGGAGGAAAAGAGAATGCCTCTTGGCACATGGGAGAATATAAGGACAATTTTGGTGTTCCTCTTTCGAGTGAGAATAAAAACAGACTGTTTGGTCAATATGATCCAGATAGCATCTCTCTTGTCTATCATGGCAGTCAGGCAGCAGAATTTCACGATTACATTGGTAAAGAGAGAGAAAAAATAGGTTTTGAAGATATGCAAGGAACACCTGAAAGCAAATTACCTAATTTCGAAGACGATTCCTTATATCATGATATTTATGGTACACCGGAAAGTGAGTTACAGAAAGGAATGCATTATGAAAACAGTTACAATTATCCTAGCAATGTTTACAGCGATTATGATTACATCAGTGGTACAGCTGTCAGTCAGTTATCACAAGATGAAAGCATGTTACATGAAGCCAGCGGAGCTCTTCCAGGCGGGGTCCTTACTGGACATGAAACAGTTTATAGTGAAAATCATTATCCACATCCTCAACAACATAATTTCATGAAAGATAACGGAGATGGACTCTTCAGGTACGGGGAAGAAATTATTGATAGGAACAGTGGAATCGGAAGACGTAGTCATTCTGAAGTTGGACGTCCAAGTGTAAACTATTTAAGCAATGGGCTAGAAAATGCTGGGAAGTTGGAGCCGGACACTAACCGTTATCAAAATGGTAGACATGATGACATTCGAAAGTTGGCATTAGATAAAAAAATATCCAATGACAAGTTTCAAGAGATGATGTTTAAAAATGTCGAAAAAAGTCGACCCGAAGATGCACCCATGTTTGGTCGAGAAAAAAAGAACAAAACAAATTATAGTGCGGTAGATAATTATGAAACGAAATATTTTGCCTCGGGCAACGGGGCCTATTTTGATGATACAAATGTGAATCAAGAATTATTTGAAAGCTTTCCAGGCGCTACCACTTCTGGATCTATTCAAATATCTCCGAGTACGAGAAACGCAAATTTAGTGACTACGTTGCCCACCGTTGAAAGAGACAAATCCAAAACTCATGAAATAGTGAAGGCTATGTCGCAAGATAACATCGATACAAACAGCATTTGGAAGCGCCGCCGCAAAGACATTAAGGGGCCATCGATTTCTGATGATGAAAGTTTTGACTTGAAAAAAATGGTTTATCTTAGACCTGGCATCATAAAAAGTGTAAATGTCAATAAGACAAATGAAAGCAAAAATGCTACAATCAATTTGGATATATTTCCGACGAATGAATATACATCTGCTTTGACTGAGGACAAAAATGTAACTTCCATTGCGAAAATAAATCATACTATTAAATTGGAAACTGAAAGCGAAAAGGCATTGAAACAAGAGAACTATGGACGGGGTTGGTATACACTTAATTATGAATTACCAAAGGTTAAAAATACAAAATATTCAGGTTCTAATAAAATACAAACAGATCACTTTAGATCTTTAATTATTAGCAAAGAAAATAAAGGCAAGAAAAGGTTCCTGAAACGAAGACCTGTTAATGGAACAGTGATATCAAGTGAAAACTTAATCTCATTATATGACAATGAAGGTCTTCAAAATGAAAGTATAACTCATAATCGAACAGAAACAATGTCAAGTGTTGGTCAAGCAAAACAGTCTTCAAATAAAATTAAAAAGAGTCCAGGTCGTCGTTTAACTGAAAATACTTCGAAGGTGGATCATCATACAAATATGCATACAAAAGCAGTTATTCGTCGGGAGAATGCGACAAAGGATTTTGCTCAGCGTTTCCGTACAAAGGTTACCAACTGGGGAAGAAGCGGTCATTCTATTACCCGTAAAGTATCAGAAAGACTTGAAACAGGGGATCCAAAAACCAACAATGTAAGAAATAAAGCTCATGCAAAGATAGCAGACGTTTCACCAACAATAATGCCAGAAATAGTAGATTCTATTAAAAAACGAACGACTGTTCTTTCTGAGCCAGGAATCCAGTTAAACAAAAATGCACATGAAGGAAGAAACCAATACAGCATGAAAGAAGAAGATATTTTTAAACATATTTTGCCAGATATCCTTCATAATGCGGAACCTGATCATTTGCAAAGACGAACAACCGTTCCCACGACAAAAGCGTTTGGGTCGATCAATGCAGACTGGCCTAAGCGGCCCGTAACACGCCCGATAAATCCCACTGATTCAGATGCCAAACGTAAATTTTTAGGTGGACCAGAAATGAGCAAACTGAAATTTGCTGATCGTAGTCTATCGTTCGAAGCTGGGAAAGAGTTGTTTAGAGATTACAAACGTCACGAAGTGCCTGATTTATTGGCTTTATATCCCAAAAGACGTACAATATCTTCGTCATCGTTAAACGATACAGCTTCTCAAACTGATGAAATGCTGCTCCCACACCACAGTGAGAGAGTAAACGGTTCAGAGTTGGAATCTTCCCTTTATGCAAATAATTATGGGGTTTTGAGTGAATTGACAAATTCAGATATCATAGAATTGCCCAATTTAAAACCTCCCTCCGTTACATCATCTGGGGCTGCAACCGTCGCGGATTTTTCTCATGGTCACTTAAAAGCTGAAACTCTTCCTCTTTTCGGTATGCTTGGAGAACCCCTATCAGGAAGCAATGAATCTGTCGTATCTGAAATGCCATTTCAAAACACTGATATGATAGATCTTTCTTCAGTCAAGTCACCTTGGATAAATGTTGATGATAACACGAACGTATCGGGGTTAGACCCATTTTATAGACACTCAGTTCCAGAATTATCTCAAATAATCGTTGATAACAAATATGAGAAGCAAACTATAATTGGAAACGATGGTTTGATTGATGAACTTAGTGTTTCCGGTGTACCAATGGATAAGAAAGTGAATTGGTACCAATCCTCTGAAAATATAAAACTTCATACTGGTGAATCTAGTAGTTGGCTTCCACAGTCTAAGTTAACACGTGTAGATGATGCTAAGGTGAAAATTGATAAAGACGCTGCTCTTCGATTATCTCAAACAAATGAGCCCAATTTATCGGCATTAAGTCATTATAATATAAAAAATATAACCATTGGTTACAAACCGACGAACAGCAATATAATATCAGGCGTGTCTGATTTTAATGAAGTAATCAATGATGATATTTTACCAGTCATATCAGGCAATAAAAATCTCACGGATATTTTTACAATGCAGGTTACTTCAAACAGTGAATTACCTGTAAATTTTCAGAGTCCAGACTTATTAGAAAATGGAAACGTGATGCATAGTTTATCGGCAAAGAAAGACTTAAAAAACAATCAGTCCCGTCTAAAAACATTTCAAAGGACCAGTGAAATAAAAGTTCATAGAATTGGGGACATTTATTCCAGTGATCTATCAAGAAAACCTTTACCTGATGAAAATGAAAGTTTTCGTAAGTCAAAAAGCAGTCAAGGCAACATTCAGATAAATTCCCAGCCAACAACAATGTTGTCTATTTCCAGCAAACAAGTTGACATCAGAACTGAACCAGGTGATAAGACAGTAGACTTACCGTCTTTTCTTGGAATATCTCAAGGTGGTAGAGCGATTGATTTTCACCTAATGCCTAATGTTACAAAAGCAGAAACACTAACTAGCAAAGATACTATTCCCGGCATTACTGATAGCCGTGACCCAACAAATACCGAGATACTGACCAGGATAGACGGCGATACAGCAAACACGAATACGTTGAATGGAATATCTCTCAATAGAGCTGCAGTAAACAGAGGTACATTAATTAGGAAGACATATGGAAGTGATTTAGATGTCACCGATTCCTTACACAGAACTGCTTCAGGCGGCACAGATACTTTGGCTGGGACACTTTACAAAAGTAATCAAATAAGCACGGATACTCAAGAAGTTGGAATATCACTTAGCAATAGAACAAGCATGAATCCTATCACCAGATTATTAGGCAATACCGACCCAGCAGGAATAGCTAAATTGGTTGAGATATCACTCAGTAGGAATCCAAAAGACACTAATTCACTGATTGGAGTATTAAGCAGCAATGATTCAACTCGTATAACTTATCACGATCCAGTGAAAACAAGTCTAACTAAGATATCACATAGTGATAGTGCTGCAGACACGGATACACCGACTAGGATATTACACGTTAACAATTCAACAGGTGTCGACATAGTGAGTGGAAAATGGGAAAATATTGATATAACACCTCTGCATACAACTTCTGTATCACACAGTAATAGCACATCAGGTGCAGATAAAGTGAACAATATGTTTCACATGAGTGATCAATTAGATATAGAACGATTAAGTAAGATATCTCGTGCTAATGACATAACAGAAGCAAAGACATCACATAGGATCGATCCAGTATTTACAGGAACTGCTATAACAAATCAAGGACATTTAGTTAACAGTGGTACTTTAACAGATCAGTTATACAGTGGTACTCCAGGAGATGTACAGTCATTCTCTCTGATATCACAACAAAATGATAAAACAGGTATAGATATGTTGTCTACATCATCACGTATTGATAACTTAACAGGAACACATAAAAGTTCAACTAGTCGTGAACCAATGGAAACGTTTATTGATTCGATGAAAATTGTGTATAGTGACCCTGAAGTAATAATAAATAGAAGTCAAACAGATATGCGCACATTGGATGCAGCCAACGACAATGGTCCAGACTTGTTTTCTATACCAAGTGGATTACAATACAGTAATCCAGTAGGAATTGATTCAGTATTGGATATTAATGAAACGTCACTCTTACAGTCATTACCTGAAATATCTCATCCAATAAGCATCGGTGGTCTGAGGTTTCCTAGCGATTCCCAGAACTCGCCGACATTACACGATACATTCTATGGACCTAATACATCGGATTTACACACTGGAACAGTCCATACTAGTGATACAAAGAGAATAGATAAGACAGAACATTTTAGGGAGCCTCTTAAATCACATACCGAGACAATCGACAATATTGATCTTACAGGTACAAATGATATTTCTCTAATTAGTGGTCGCACACATCTGTATCCAGATGAACTACACAATATTAATTCTTCCAGTGTGGATGGTGTATCTCAGGTTATTGATTCTACATTCCCTCAGTCTAGTACTTTCCATAGAAGTGATCCGTCAAGCAAAGACAGACTTGAATATGTCCCTGCTGATAAAGGCTATAACACTGATCCAGCAATTGTTGATAAAATAACTCATATTAGTGATACACACTTACACCCTAATGTCTTCCATAGTAGTGAGCGAACGGGTTTGGACAAATTGGCACATGTTAGTGACCTTTCCCATTCACAAACTTATATGGCCCTTGGTAATGATCTCAATGGTATAAATGGAGGAGAAAGCTACACTCAGGACACTAGTAATTTATCATCTTTGAAAGTTAGTCATACTAATGTAATAAACAAAAATCTGTCACCAAAAACTTCTCAAGATGGTGATCCATCTGTTTTATCAAATACATTTGCAGAAGTATCTCATAGCTCAGATTTATTAAACACAGATCGATTGCTATCACCTATTGATCCATCAAGTATAAATCGATTAACTGGAGTCCCACTCTCGCAAAATTTCTTTACGCTGCCAAGGATTTCGTACGGGGATTCTTTGTTAGATTTTAAAAAGTTTTCAGACAAAAAATTGCTTACTATACAGGGTAATGAAAGTCGGTTACCTATAAATGCGTCTTATGTGGATCTTCAGTCAGGTAAAGATACTCCGTCCACATTGTCACAGAGTGATGGATTGCTAGAAAAACAATCTTTATTTGAAATGTCTAATACTGGCACTCAAGCAGAAATCCATACAGGTGATAGGACCGATATTCGTTCTGTTCCAGAAACATCATATAGAGACAGTTATGTTGATAGCCATATATTACAGAGACCTTCCCAGGCAGAAAAACTAAACAAAGGATTTTCATCGTCTGATTTATCATTTATTGATGGACTGACGTCTGTAGACACAATGCCCAAACTATCCCTAGGTAGCCTTCAAACGAATGCTTTACCTAAAATATCTCACGCTGAAGGACTGGCATTATCTAAGATGCTGGATACAGTTGGTCTGACGGCGGATGGTCTTACATTAGCGGGAGCATCAAAATCTGAAACACTAACCGATCAACACTCTGTTACCCATAGCCAGACAGGTTTTGAATCGCCACTCTCTCAAAGCGAAGATAAAAGACTAAATAAAGTAGATAATTTCATCACTGGTATTTCTTCCAAAAAACCAATCGACGACGGTTTTGAGAAAACCTTCCAATCATCATGGCGTGATTTGTTGCTTAACCACAGCAGAGGTTTTAATTTAGACACTGCATTCGAAATGGAACAAATACGTCAACCTGAAAAAATGAATGAATCCAGTTTAGTTTATAGTACTTCTAAAAACCCATTGAATAATACTGATGACAAAATCCCGTTAACTTCCTCCTCCTCCTCCTCCTCCTCCTCCTCCTCCTCCTCTGATTTAATCATCGGCGATCAGCAACTTTCTCTTGATAGTTTACTTGCGGGTACCGCTACAAAAAAATCTGACAGTCTAAAGACGAGGCAACCTGATTATATAGTTTCTCGGAGTTGGGCTGTTCCTTCTCATTCTTCATCTGTTGACTCAAGTCAAGGGAAACAAGATTTCCAGACTTTGCTTGATCTTCCTTCGACATTTCTATTTGGACAGTTCATGAATGATAGTCAACATTCAACTAACTTAGATCTAGCAACTGCAGACCAGAAAAATATTATTCCATTAACAGAAGATTTTACAAACGGTGAAACTCAACACTCAACCAGCGAAATGAAAAATATGACTAGTAGTAAATATAAAGGTATGGAAAGTTCGCTTAAAAAAATGGATTCTGTAAGTGGTGTGGAAAATTTAACTCTTCTACACACTCGGATAGTCAAAACTCCACCGACATTACCGGATATGTCAGCCCCATTTGATTTGAGTAGTCTCTTTGAATTCCAGGATCAAACGAGAAGGTTAAAATCTGAAAGAATACCTTCAAAGGAAACAGCTTCAGACAATAGACCAATTTTCCTGACAATTCAATCTATGAGGAGTAGTAATCCTTCACCAGACCTCGATCCTGATCTAATACCCGTTGTGCAACATGTAACCAGAGTTCCCATTAAATACGACATTTCAGCTGATAGTACAACTGTTGTGTCAACGTCAGATGTCCCTCAAACATCTGCAGGAATCAACCGAAATACAATGCCCTACTACGCTCATACTTTTTCTAACATTTTTCCAAAAGAAAATACAGTTAGTCAATTTAGTTCAGATAGAGGTGTAGCCGCCGAAAATATTCCCTTGCCAAAATTCTCCAGCATTACATCCCAGAATACAATGCATTCTGGCACTTCATATTCTGATCCCTACCTTACTTTGTCACCTGCAGGCGCTGATAGAAGTTTCAGTAGATCTTTCGAAGAATTTCATAGATCCCATTCTCAAAATAATCCAAGTTTTACAGATCCATCTGTTGGAAGTACTCAGACTGGGAGCAGAATAGTAAAAAGTGGTACTGGAAGTGGAATTTTAACCCTGAAAAAGATTTCAAATTTAATGACCTCTGAGAGCGAAAATCAAAATTTCATTACTGGACTTCCTCTGGGAAGTAACAACGTAACATCTCAAATTACAAACCAGATTGAGAGAAGTGCTGTCACCGAGTTTCCAGCTATGATTGAAGATTTCGACAAGGCATATATATTAAAATTTCATATTCCAGAAGAGCAAAGTGTTGCTAAAGAATTTGGGGAACCTTTGACAGTGCCTCTAACCACAACTGATCGTCCAACTGAAAAGTCATTTTGGTGGATGACAAGCACATCTGGTACTTCTGATGTAAAAAGTTCACTTATGTCCTTCACATTGCCTGAATCAACTTTTATTCATTCTGTTGTCCCGAGAATCTGTGCAGGTTGCGTAAACCACATTTGGGAAGATCAACAAGGTTTTATGTTAGGCATGTATGAAGTCATGGATTTTAAGAACACAACCTTTAAACGAGATCCCGGTGCAAGTTGTAAGTATGAGAAAGAAGTATCAATACATTATTGAATTAGCGCGTGTATGTAGCTAGCTACCTTATATATATATATATATATATATATATATATATATATATATATATATAATGGAGAAAGTGCAGAAAATGTCTCTGCACGACCCACTTCCCAAAAATCTAACCCAACATCAGAATTTGCGATAGGTTTAAATGTGTATATAAACCAAATAATCAAATAATTAGGTATTAGCATATATGATGAGTTGGTAGAACCACGAAACTTTAACCTGCACTTCGAACGTAGGTATATGTATATTTATTAATATATATATATATATATATATATATATATATATATATATATATATATATATATATATATATATTAGGTATGTCTGATTAAATAAATTACAGACATTATGTCTGATTATTTGTAACATAACCTGTTTATACTCACGAATAACCTTCCATGTATTGCAATTAAATGATGTGAGAAATGTGCTATAACTGTGAAAATCGCGTTTATTTCCCAAGTCCTTTCGATCTTCTTCCGAGATCATCTTCAGGGGTGCAAGTAGTAATACAAAACTATGTGTTGCTATCCATTACTCTATTTTTTTCTTTTTGCTTTTAAATGCAGCGGTTGACAACCATACTTGACGTTCATTAGATCGTGAAAAAAAATTATCCTCTCTCTCTATATATATTTGTTTGCTATAATTTTGTACAATTAATAAGTGTTTGCTGTATTTAGTAAATGATCTATATATATATATATATATATATATATATATATATATATATATATATATATATATATATATAAATTCATGAATCATTCATACAAAAAACAAACATAGAGGTTAATTATTTAAATGGCGAGAATACATCTTCGCAAACAATATAAATAAGATACAACAACCCTGAACCAGTATATGAATAATATGATCCCTTTTCTAAAGCGCATATTACGCATCTTTATGTGTACCGTAGACACGTCCATATGCGGATGTTCAATTTCACTGAAACGCACTGTGGCGACGTAACTTGCTCGTTCCACGCTGTACAAGTAGATATAGTTGTAGTTTAGATATACTAACCTAAGTATTCAATCGTCCTCGTATTTCCAGGCATTACATATAGGATCAGATATATTGAAAATTCCTCTTCAAGTCTACAATTGGTGGTATTAAATATTTACTTAAAGAAAGAGGAAAGTTAAACACTGAAAGAATTAGGATTAAAACCATTTTCAAAACCATTTTTACCTTTTGGTTGGGAAAATCTACACAAGTCACATGTAAATTATACAAATTTTGGAAGATAATATATTTTCAATATCACCCTAGCCCTGTTTTTAATTATTATTTTTGGATAAAGAACTTTATTCGTTTAAAAAATATTATTGTCAATTAAAAATAAAATGTTTATTATCATTTTTAACTTTTAGGATCAGTAATTATTTCCGTAATTATTTTATTTTCGGATCATTGCCCAACTAAGAATTTTGAATGTGTGGCTACTGTACCAGTTGGTGGCTTAGAAAGAAAAAACAGCGAACCGTATATTCGAATTCCATTCGAATTCTTTTCATTGACTTTTGTACAACAAATACTCTTGCGAAAAGTATGACTCTGCATTTTCTTTCACCGGGTATTGAGTTAAATAGCATGGCAGATTGGCTTTCTAGCTACTGTTGGCAACCAGTCTAGGAGAAGGACAATTCTGATTTTAAACCCGTATATAGCCCTGCCGACGCTCATACCATACAGCCATTGAAAAGATTATGAAGTTCACAATTACCTGCGACGCTGGGTTGTGGACTTTATGATCTCAGTGGAGGTTGAATAAAAATACTCCAAAACCAAGCTTAGAATTACTATCGTAACAAATATATTTAATTTATTCCTCCAGATTTAATCCATCGTTATTCCTATAATGTAATTTTTACAATTATTTATTACTTATCTAAATAGTAATGTTTAATGTATAAAATGCAATACCTAATTAAATTAATAAAATAAATATTTCATTTCTTAAAATTCTATATTCAAATAAATGATTACATCAATCAAAATATGAAATGTTTCCATAATGTTTGTTTATTTCAAAAAGCAAAATATCAATAAATTTTAGAAAATTTGTTTGAACCGATCGTTTAACTGGTAAAATCGCTATCGTTACCAAATAGATTTTTGTTTTAGACAAATGTCAAACTGGTCAGAAGTGGGCTATTGGTCAGCACTTTGACAACTTAAGTTGAATGGAGGTAGTTTGAATCATGGGTGTTGTAATAAATGGGACTAAGATTTTGTGACGGCCGCCATTTCTTTCTATATGACAGTGCACTCGTGGACGCTAATTTGAATGATCAACGGTCACTTTTTAACTGGTGATTGAGACTTGAGGAATCAGTGGATTTTAGAAATGTTGAGACTGATTCTTCGGGGGAATGAATTACTACCAGCTATTTCGGCGCTTATGGCGGCCGTCTCAAACGAATCCGACATCGGTAACGCTTAGTCCCATATATTACAGGTGTGTAATCATGACAGCGATAGATTAACTTTGTTTATGGACCGAAAAACGCTCGAAAACTATCACTTCAGCTGCAGAAACAGAGAGGTCAAGAGCCTAAATTCCTTTGTGTGCTGTTGTTTCAATAAGGTGACAATCCACCACATGGAGAGGATCGCTTGATGGACAACATCCGTTTTCTCTATCTCCGTTCTCTTCTTGCTTCTTCCAAGAATGATGCATACTATGTCCCCTCTGAAATAAAGTGAGTTAATAAAGTTAATAGGAAAATTAATAAATACTGAGGAAATATGGAAATTAAATCATTATTAATTGGTTTCTATGGAGACTATAATTATTGTTATATAAATAATAAAAAAAAATTGTTGTGAAATAATTGCTTCTGGTTGATATTTTAATTTTATTTCAGATTATTTAGTAGACAACACGCAAGAAGTGATTCATTCTCTAAATTTGAACATGGTCCAGAGACAAATCTGCAAGTGTATTCTCTCTAAACAACCAATTCAAGATATTGAAGTTTTATGTGAACATCAAATGAATGGACGTCTAATTCACGTGGAACTACCAAACAAGAGACGGAATACAGAAATGCAATGTCACATAAAAATTTATAATGGCACATGGCAAGGTGGAAATTTGTTTTTATTTTGTTTGTTGTTTTAATTTGAGAACTTTTGTTATACAAAATCGTTTATTGATGCTACATGTTAAATCCTCTCTGCAATCTATCATTAAAACTTATCTAGAAGTTTTTTTATTAATACTTCTGCTGCTGTGAATGTAGTTATACGTCTTTACAAATTTTACATAGCTTGCTGTTGATATATATACGTTTTCAAAACATTGTGAAATGTCAGTCTCTATTGCTATAAACTAACAAGCACTTGATGCAACCAGTGTAGACACTATATGTGTAGACACTATATAGCATACAATATAATCTGTTTTGTGATGTCATTTTATTATATTGTGTTGGGTGTCATTTAGCTTAGTCTTTACTGTAGAATATTCTATCGAAAGCAAAATGGCGACGTCCACGAAAAATCCGTTGCCGGTAATAAAGTCACCGGGAAAAAGTCACAATTTTGGCTAGGAAAAAAGTCACAATTATTTTTCTCTAAGAAATTATTTTTCACTAAATCTAAGTATTGTTGATCCATAACAGCACTGTGATCCACTATTCACACTGTCTTCGGGGTTAGGGATAGGGATAGGGATAGGGATATGGATAGGGATTAGGATTAGGATTAGGGATAGGGATATGGATAGGGATTAGGATTAGGGATAGGGATATGGAGAGAGACTAGGATTAGGGATAGGGATAGTGACATACTATAGAGAAGAACAAGGTTATATACTGTACGTAGACAGGTCATCTGAACGTGACCTCAAACCAAACACCTTCTCAAAAACCTTTACTGGATTAGACAACCAGTAGTCACAGTGACCTCTGCTAACTTACCTGAATTCTTCCAGGCTGAATTTGTCCCAATTATATCTAAAAATCTAATGTTGTTGTTCTAGTTTACAATTTTTAAGCAAAGTTCATTAATTTATCATCAAATCTGCATATTTCTTTACTGAGACTGACTGATATATTAGCCTTAAAAAAAGTGAAAATTCGATCGTTAACTTTCCTATTAAACAAAGACGCAGAATAAGTGCTAACATTGGTCTATTTCTTTTCTTTTCCTGTGACTTTTTTTCCCCTGGATTCGAGAATATAGTCATTTATTTTCAGTAAAAGGCAACTTAATATTTTCCTAAAACTGGCCAGCACAGTCAGTTAACAATTCAGCAATGAAAGGTTTAAATACTTTTATGATACCTATTGAAAAATAATAGTACCTTATTACTGTTATCATATTATTTTGAGCTTCAGAATCAAAAAACAATAAAATTCATGATAATCTTCCAAAAACTTACAGACAAAATTAAATTTAAAATACTATGGAGGTTTTGATAATTTCACTATCCAATACGTTTTGTCAGATATTTGTTAGCTACAAATAAATATCTGAATCCTTAATTGTCACTCTACAAATATATCGTGATTTGAAATTAATTTTCTTTCCAAAAATTAATAAAACTTGTAAAATCAGTAAGTGTTGTCTACCATGGAATCAACCGAGTGAAATGTAACTGCTAAAATAAATATCATTATTTACAAGATTTGTACATAAAAACTTAAATAACATTGTAAATTCTTCATGCTAATAAGATTTAAATTATTACGTATTTTAATTATAGAATTAAAATCTTACATTAAAACAAGTTATATAAGAAAGTGCTTTTTTTTTCTGGAAGTTACAAGACTTTCTTAATTTCCATTGGATTTATAAAGTCCGCTATTCATTTTTGATCAAAGATAGCTTCTCATATAAATGTAGTGATTGTTTTTAATATATCTTGAATTTTTACCAGTGAGGCAAAACATTCATATGTATTTCCTGTTCATAAACGGCATTGAAAAGTTCTTGGCTTAACCAAAAAGGGATTAAAAAACAAATTTTGATGTTTGGTCAGATTTTAAGAAGTCGATCAGACTGACAACATTTCAGCTCCTCCACATAGTCACCAAGTCAATCCTGTATTTCAAAATTCATTGAACAAATGGTTAAAATATTAAATCAAACTAAATCTTAATTGGATTCTTGGATAGGTATATAAGTAGATCTTATTTTTATTTTCATCAATCATTTTAAGTAATTTTCTGTAAATTTTTAAAAGTTGCGGGATACAAATTTAGTTCTTAAATATCTAAAATTTTCAGAGTCAGTATGTGATATGCAATGTCCGTATATACAGCATCGTTAAAATATGCTTAAAAAAAAACATAATTTGAATTCTTCGTTATTCAGTGTTAGTTTATATGATACATTATAGAATTATCATTATCAGTTAAAGAAAACACAATACTGTAGAAATAAGAACATTTTTTTTCGTGTTTTGTTGTAATCAAACATTGATTCACCAACAAAAATATATTTTTATGTATTCTAAACTTTTTTCTTTTTCTTTTTTTAGGATTTAAATCTTGCAAAGAGGGGCAAAAATATTGTGACTATATGTTTGGAACACGATTTGGTGAATGTACTTATGTACTAGGGCGAAATGACTTACTAAAATACTATAGTATGTGTAATACAGTATTATGCAGAGAATCTGGTGATATGAAACAATGGAAGAAAGATGCGTGTGATGTTCTTGATGCTTTGGCTCATGAATGTGAATTGGTTGGCACCAAAGTTGCCTGGCGAGAAGTCACAAAATGCTGTAAGTATTCCAATTACAATTTAAATCTTACTTTTTTAAGTTCTTAATTGCAAAACTTCAAAATGAAAATCTGTCAATAACTTAGCGAATTCTCTAAGATAACTGAGAGTTAATAATCATAATTATTACGATAATTAAAAGAGAAAATTAACTTATTAAGGTGAAACTGTATAGAAAGTACACTTTCTGAATATCTCATGGTAAATTTACGTCCAAGATCATACAACATATCATCTTTTCTAACAAAATTACTGCTATTACAAAGTGAGATATTTAAAAACTAAAACGAAAGTTGTAGAAAGATAATGTATCTGGATACATCTGACGACCAAAAATCTAACACTTAAATCTCAGCTTAAACATCTCTGTATCTTCAACATTTTCTTGATGTAAAATTGTAACCGACATTTGTTGTATTTTGTTCCCTTGCCGAACATATGCAAGATTCCACTGACAAAAAATTTATTTAGTCTGTAAAAGACCTTTTCCGAAGATTAAACGTGGAACATAGAATTTTTTTTCCATTTTGTCATTTAATTACCCACTATATAAATTTGTATACTATATTCTCTCATCACTGAAATTCAATAAGATAAAGTTTTGAAGTATTTTATCACAGTCTACATACAAACTCTAAAAAGAAGGCAAATCCATGTAATGTTTTACATAATGTCTATTTAAGACAATGCTGTATTTAGCTAATAAACGTCATCAAATTATTAGAAAAATCAATCATTATTTTTTCAGACAAACAATGTCCAGAAAATATGGAATTTAAAACAAATGTGTCTGTATGTCGGAAATCTTGTAGTAATTTTGATGTCAGCTTCTCATGTCCAACAAATGAAACCGAATCCCGCTGTGACTGTCAAGAGGGATTTGTGTTAAGTCAAGAAACGTGTATCCCTATGCAAGAATGTGGCTGTACTTACCAAGGTCACTACATTAATGTAAGTCATAATATATATATATAGTTCTCTTCATGGATCTAATGATGAATAAATACAAAACTTTGGGAAGATCTTTATGATAATATTGTTATAGACAAGCGTATGGTTGCAAGAAAGAAATACGACAACAGCAGAAATAGATTTATGTGATTTATTTCAATAGGAACGTGTAGTTTGGGACAGCTACCTTGTGGTATAGTTCATAAGCCGGCTGCCGATTTGGGTTGATCTCTCATAGTAGTTCTCACTGGTTGACGTGGCGCTCCTCCTGCTGACCGATGCTGACTGCCCAGACTGACCGTGACAGATCTCTTCCCTGGCCTCCTGTTGACTGCCAGTACTTCCCCGTGTGACCCCTTTTATGGCGTTTTTATGGCTTAACAGGCTCGAAAAACGACGCGAGTATAATAGGAGGGAAGCATTTTTATTGGTCGAAAATAGAAACACTTTAAAATATTATTTTATTTTTGACCGGAACTCGTGCGTCGGGCCTATGCGCAAACGACGATAATGGTCATTTTGTGACGGGGCCTTGTCCCGTTCACATCCGGCTCTCGCTCTTAAGTATGTTAGTTTATTTGCCTGCAAATCAGCCGAGATATGTCTTATTTTATTTTATAACAATATCATCTCATTATATTTCTGTAAAATATTTAATTCTGTGGTATTTATTAACAATGAACAATATCAGGACTAGATTAAGCTCATGCAGGGCCTATATTATAAAGGGGTGCTAAACTTTTTAAAAATACACATGAATATTAAATCATAAGTTATTTACTAGCATATAAAACTTCGATCTACTTATTGATAATAAACAAAACCAGAAAAATATGAGGCAGAGGATTTTAACGATATATTTGAAATGATTTAACGGACTTGATATAATGTTGCCTGAATAATTAAAAATGGTTCCTCGCAGCATGCAAACATTAACATTACCAGGTTGTAAGATGCTGATTTTAACAGACAGTTTGGAAGTATTTAATACAGACCCTTGAAAATGTGTGGCTCATCGTATTTGATACTTTTGCTGCAAGGTTAATCTAGTACTGAACAGTGTGCTTTTATATTGCATACAGTGAAAAGAAACAAGTGAACATTAACATAATGGTCAATGTCGCAGGTGAACCATGAATCTGTGTTTAAATTCTGGTGATAAATACATGTGTAACATTTGCATAAATGGGGTTTTCTTCTTGAAATCCTTAAACTCACAGTCGAATATAGGGCAGCAGCTATGCCACATAAGGTATAATGTTGCTGCAGCTTAAGCAACAATTAAATTTTGCATCACGGAATTGCTAGCTACATACCCACCTTGCTTGAATCCAGAGTCGGCTTTCTTCTAAAGTGGCGGTCACCGAAGACTAGAGAGCTCAGTCTGCTCTGCTATTTTAGCCACAACTGAAAGGAGATATTAGGAATCCATAGCTTTCTCAAGGGCATTAGTATGAAGTGAACTGTCTCTCCTAGGGCTTGCTTATTACATAGTCTACACTGTTAACCATTAAGTCACCGACGACAACTTTTGTTTAAGCATAAATACAATTCAATTTGTATTTATTCAATTGCCAGTTGTCTTAATAATCATATTCTTATTTATATCATATGATGAGAGGCCAAGAGAAATAAGAGTGACTGAGTAAAAGAATAATTCAGTTTCTTCATAATTACCTGGTCAGTTAATAACAGTAAGAGATACAAGTAAACATCTATCTGTACATATATAAAGGACAGTTGTTTGTGTGTGTGTCCGACTAAAACTAAAAAACTACAATAATAACAACAAAACAAATATATATATACAGACTCGGTATCACCCAACACACATTCTTGTAAAAAGATTATCATCGTATGATTTGTATTTGCGAAGATATTTTAAAATTAGAAATACGTAATAATTGCATTAGAATGCATTCGAAATTCTCAGAATAAAAACGTAAAAGCGAACGGGAATAATTCTTATTCACATTCGTTTTTATCTTTAATTTTCTATTCTCTAAAAATTTATTTCCATATCTACTGTAAATAAAACGTAACTTTAAAAAGTGAATATTAAAACAAAGGAAATTTAAAAGACGAAGAATAAATACAATTATTTGAAAGAAAACTTGGGTATTTTGCAGTTTAATTCCTCGCGCTCACTTTCTATTAAAAATTTCCCGAATAGTTACATTTAGGTGTAAATGTACATGCTTAATTCGAAAATAACAAAGAAATTTTGCTAAAATCAACAATAAAAGTTCGGACTCATTCGCGTCGGGTCCGTCCGCCATTACTGGCGTTGTTTACATACATTTGCCTCGGAGCAACCATTTGCGGAAGCTTACTTAGTTAACAGCCTTTTTACTGATCATACTCGTCTCAATTACTGCGCAAGGATAGTGTAGTGGAAAGTTTGGTGGTTACCATTTATTTAATGGTGTTGATGGCCCAAATCAATCCATACAATTTTTTTTTACTTTACGAATATGTTAAGCAAAATGCAAAAACAACAAGAAACATTTGTGATTGAAGACAAATATTTGAATAACAAGTAATTTTCAATGTATTTTTAATGAAAATATTTTTTTAGGTGAAAAAATCTTGTTAGTTTATGTTAAACTCAAGTTTGGTAAAAGATTAAATTTTGTTAATGAGTTCTGATTTGAAAGGATATTTGTTAAAATCTGTTATTGAAGATTCCGTAAATTAATTGCAAGAGAAAAAAATTTACTGTTCATGTAAGTAGTAAATGTTTGTAAAGTTGAATGCAATTTATGATCAAATAAGTTATCTACCTTTGTTTTTGTGTTCTCGAATATTGAGAAATAAGTTGATTTGTTAGCAAGAATTTGTTTAATTTCTGCATAAAGGAATTTGGTGAGTGAATAAGAATAAAGTTCACTGATAAATTTTGACGAGTATCGTTAAGTTGTATAATGTTCATATGAACGAAAAAACTTAAAATTGTGTGACGTGAAGTTTAGTTGCAATTCGACTGATGTTAACCAATGAGGGCTCGAGATTTTTTTGAAAGTGTATGAAGTTGAAAGTGTTCAGTGATCCACTTTTTGCACAGATTTGACCCAACTATTTTGGGTATTGGAATAATGTAGAATTTGGGTTCTACAATAGGTTAGGGATTTTGTTAAATTTGTTTAAGTTATTTAGAAAAGCAAACTTATTTAGAAAAGCAATGACAAGTATTTTTTTTATAATAAAACAAATTAAATAATAAAACATAATAATTAATAAATAATAAAACAAATTGTAATACTAATAAAATCTTATTTTAAAACTCCAAAATTTAATAAAAAAAAGTTTGAACCTTGAATTTGTTCTTGTTATTATTGTTATTTCCTTTCTAACATTTTTTTTTTATTTTGGAAATAATCATGCTCTTTTTAAATTTCGCGCGAAGTTTGCGCATTGCGTGCTCATTAATCAAGACAAGTGAAGCTTCCGCGAATGATTGCTCCGAGGCAAATGTATGTAAACAACGCCAGTAATGGCTGTCATGTATCCGCGACTCGAATGAGTCGGAAATTTTATTGTCGATAATTCTAAAACGGTAGATTTTAGCAAAATTTCTTTGTTATTTTCGAGTTAAGCATGTAAATTTTCACCTAAATTTAAAGAGAGAGAGAGAGAGAGAGAGAGAGATTTGAATCAACAATATTTTTTTCATTAAATCAGTCTCTGCCTTTACTTTTTTACTTTACTGATAAAAAACAATTTAAGTGTAAAATACCTTTTTTTAAAATCACTATGAAACCAAACAAATTATTTTGTGATATAAAGAAAAATAATTACTGGTGTTTATTTGATAAAATACATAGACAATATATTTGCTTTAATAAATAGTGGAAAGTCCAT